AATCAATAAGTTCCGCAGATGGGAGGTGCTTGTCTCAGGGATATTCTGAATAAGAAGCATCTTGGAATTGCTGTTAATCATAAACCGAACATGAGCCAAGCATGTGATGCAGCTGCACAAAGGCCAAACGCTGCATTGGGCTTCATGGGGGGAAGGGTGACTTCCAAACCATGTGGGGAACTGGTCCCGCTCTATTCAGCATTGGTCAGGCCTCCTCATGAGTAGTATGCCCAGTTCTGGGCGCAGAGATCAGGAAAGAGGGGCTGTCAGGCGGAAGAGGGCCGGGACCCCTTCCCGGCATCCGGGACTGCAGGACCTGGGATGAGGGGCTCCAGGGACAGGAAGCCAAATTCCGGGCAGGCATCAGCCAGGCTGGCCACACGCCCATCCCGAGTGACAACGGAAGCTGCGCCCTCGCCTGGTGGCAGCGCTGCCACCCTGGATGCACTGGAGAGGCCGCTGGACGGCCATCCGGGAGGGAAGATGGGCTGGGAGCCCGTGCTGAGCAGGAACTTGGGCGCCCTTCCCCTCCTGGCCGCTTCCGACTCTCCAGTGACCAATTGAGCCGGTGCCAGTGATCCGCACACGGTTCCCCCGGCGGCTTCTTAGCAGGGGCAGGACAAGGGGACTCCCACCCTGAGTGCCGAATCCCACCCCTCTTAGGTGGGAAAACTCCTGCCCCTCCCGGCTGGGGCTTGTCCGGGAGAGAATCTGATTGTCCCCCAAATCGGGTGCTGCCGTGAGGAAGCTTGGGGGAACCCAGAGCGGACCTTCTCGTCGCGCTGGGACTCGCAGAGCAGGACAGCTTGGTCTGACCAGGGCCAAACCCCACGTCTTGGAACATGGACTGTTTCTCACCGCACATGCCCAGAGAATTCCTTTCTGTGACGCAGTGGATGCTAGCAAGGCGTCATGCGGGGAATGAATTGTTTGTTGTGATCTACACAATGGGAAGAATCACACAGGTGTGCAAGGAACCCCGTGAGAAGGCCTGTGCCAGCTGCGAGGGCGAGAGGTCCCTCGGGCTGGACGCCCTCAGGTCCCCCTCCCAGTGAGTGCCCCTCTTGCTGCCATGTTCCCACACTGCTTTTGCCCCTCACCCCTTCCTCCACTTCCACCTGCTTGTGGGGCAGGCAAAGCCCTGCTTGGCCCGGCACTGCCGGCTCTGCGGAAGGTAAGGCGAGGGAATTCCAGACTGGACAGTGTGGAGAGCATTTCTTCCT